ATTTGTTAAAACAGAGTTCAAATTAGAGAGCTTAAATACTTGAATGCTTTAGGTCATTCCAGACCCATTGGGAGATGATCAAAGAAAGAAAAATTGGATATTAGTTCAGAATACAAAGAACAAAGAAAACCAAAATATAATTATTAGAAAGACCCTTAAGAAGAAAAAGAAGCGCTACTTAACAGAACACTGGAATGCAGAAGAAAACCCGAACACTTTGGTAACTGCGTTAAAAAATGTAATGGCTGCGAACTCGATCAAGAGAAGCAAGAAAATACATACAAAGAGCTAACGAAGAAAGAATCAGTACAGGGTTCGATCACGAAATATATAGACAAACAGAAGGAGAATACTCTTAGAGTCAACCAAAAAGCATTCAAAACAACACAATGGCTCCCAAGATCTGGAATATTACTAAATGAAAGAGAAGTACATGAAGTTTGTTACTATGATTTGGATATCAAAGTCATTAAGAAGCAACATATTAGCGAGAAAATGAAAGAAGACCTTATGAAAAAGAACTCAGAAATGAAAGAAAACTCGTTATCACAAATAGTATTTTATACTGACAGAGCATTAAAAAGTGGTAATACATCTAGATAGCACGAACTAGCCAGGATGAGAGCCGGTTGGGTTCAAGTAATGAAGATGAGAACCAAAAAATCAATAAAGGGTTCTTCAAAGCAAGAAACTGGCCATCATCGATGAAAGCTGAATTGCTCAAAATTTGGTATATGCTCTTGTTAGTACCAAGTAAAAGAGAGGTGAAGATTTATACAGATAGCGTATTAGCAATAAAAGGTATAGAAAGGAGGAAGGTTAAAAAATCGGCACAGAAAATTTTTAAAGAAGAAAATTATAGTCTAGTAAGTAATATAGTTGAAATAGCTAAGATTAAAGAAATATAGTTAGAATTAGTGAAGGTGAAAAGACATGATGAAAATAGGTGGAATAATCTAGCAGATAGTTTAGCAAAATTATATACTAAAATAGAAGATAAAGAGGATATAATAGAAGAAACCTAGGAGTCGAACGTCTCTTTGTGTTGAGAAAGTAAAGCAGTAGAAAATCCTACAAAACAATTTATACAAATGGTCTTCTGTTTCTAAATGAGTTTAGATTGGAGAACATCGACTACAATACAAAAAGAAGAACCTGACGACACATCAGAAATAAATCACTGGCTGATTCTATAGAAAAAAATTAGAAGCCAAAGTGAAATTAGATGCACTAGCACAAAAAAAAATTAGCAGTTAGGAGTACTGATTAAGTGCCTACATGAAAAATTACCAGTACTTAAAACTCTAGCCAGTAGAAGACCAGACCTATATGAAAACTCTTCTTGTATAATTTGCAGAAAAGATGAAGAGGAAGATCAGATCTATCTAATGAAATATGAAAAACAGGAAGAAAAATAGGATGAACTAGAACAAATGGTATCAAACATAGCCTAGTCAACACTATCTACAGAGACGAGAGGCCAGCTTAACAAAATCCAACTTAAAAACATTCTATGGGGCCCAACAAGAGAAAAAAGAATCAGAACAAGAGCCGGCATTCTCAAAGGTTTAATCCAAAAAAAGACTTTTAAAAAGTTCTCACTATTATAAAGCTACTAAAAGAAGCAAGAAATTATTTGAAAACAGTAGTTAATCTAGTATAGAATTTTTTTTATGAGAACATCTAGAAGCATAGATATTCAGCAGTTAATGAATAGAAAAAAGCTACAGGAATAGATGCCAAACAGAAGAGAAGACAGAAACTGAAAGAAGCCTTCGATGATAATGCAAAGCAGCCTCGTAAGACTACAGGGGAGTTTCTTAATAGCCAGGATCAAACGAAGAGAAAAGTAAAGAAAAAAGAAGAAAAAGATAAAGAGGAGAGAAAAAAACAAAAAAAGAGAGTTTATTTTGAGTTAATAAAAAATTATATTGTAAATAAAGCAAAACTATTCTGGTATAGTTTTGTAGGCTAGCTTGGTGCAGCCCCGGTGCGGGTATAAGCCCTATCCGGTAAAACAAACCGCTCTTGGGCACCCTTAGGTGTAGCCGAGAGATATCAGATTTATAGTTTAGATAGTTAATATATGTATATATATGCTTTGATCTAATAAAGATACTGGCGAGGCTGCCAATATTGGAAAAAAAAAATTATTGCTAATTGTAACTAATAAAATTACAAGATTTTTTTTTTTTTTTTGGTGTTCAGGTAGGATTTTGCCCATGACTTTATTTATTATTAATGCTTTTATTACATGTATTACTACATTTCATATTATATCTATCAAGTACACCAAGCTCAGGCCCGGATTCTATTGGTAACGTATGCTCTGGCCGAAACTGGTACTTGTGTAATCAGGTGTCCCCTCTCAGCTATTTAGCTATCAATCCTATTATCTGCGATCCAAACCTACCAGAGTGATACATCCATAGATAGCACTCACCCAGAATTTTTCCACCCTTCACAAGTCCTATTTCGGTATATTCTATGACTATATTCCCCGTATTACTCATACTACTTATATCTAAGCTTCCAAATTTGGTAATCCTCTTTATAGAAAGGTCTTGTAGCCTAATTAGACTACTTCTAATCTTGGTTAATGTTGGCTAATCTGTTTAGGTGAGTCCTACCAGTAGACTCTATACTACTCAGCTTAAGCTCATTATTAATATCTAGTTTAGTTAGTATACTTGCTGATCCTATTACCATATTGGGTAGATACTCCCGTGTGTTGGTATGAGCTTGCTATGTTGCATTACAAGTTATCTCATAACTTCCAGATAGTAGATTTTTGT